GTACTGGGGCGCGGGGGCTCCACACCTCGCGCGCAAGGGCTCTGGGGCTCACGCTGAGCCCAGCGTCGGAGGCTCCGGGAGGTAACTCGCTCGGGTGACGTCAGGTCACAACATTCCTTAAAGGGGAGGCCGGCGCACTGCTCCCATTGGGCCGACGCAAAACCCGCCCGCCGGGACCTTGACGTCAGGGCGCAAAGAGCCTGGATTCCCCGCCCGCACCAGGAAGGGGTGGCGGCTCCCAGGGGCGTCACAGTCGCCTGACGTCATGGCCTGCGTGGCCCCTCTGTCCCGGGCCAGGCTGAGCAGAGATTGGGAAGCTAGGAGGCAGTGGTGGGAGCGGAAATCACGGCCCCGGCTGCAGCTCAGCATCCTCTCTCCCCTCTGTCACTGCCCTCTGGCAGCGCACAGCCAGGCTGTTAGTTCCAGCGACAGTGTGAGGTGCCGAGGATGACAGGACCAAAACGTCGTCCTTGGGGCTTATGGTTGGAGAAGGGAAAAGGTGGGTGGGCGAGATCAAAACATAAAAGAGCAAGTCACTAAAAAGGAACAGCTTTTCAAAGAAATCCCTAGAATTGAAAAAATAGAGCTACGGACATTCAAGTCTCAATAAGGCAAGCAAGCAGATTGCACACAGCAGAAGAGAATCTCTGAACTGGAGAATAATCAGAAACAATTAACTAAAGAAACAAGGGGATGAAACATGTAAAAGGGAGTGAGTGGAAAGGTAAAGTGAGAACTCTCATGTCCAATCAGAATTCCAGAAGCGAAAAGAAAGAATATAGTAGAGGCAGTTCCTTAAGAAGAGTTTCCAAAGTTGATTGAAGACCAGGATCCTCACATAAAATCCAGAGCAGGATAAATAAAACTAAAATCAGCACCTATGCATTTTGTAGTGAATTTGCAGAACTTGAAAGACATCTGTTGGGTAAATGGTGAGCAGCTAAACTGGTAAACATGTAGGTCATCTAAACAAGTACTTAATTAGAACATGAATAGTGATGATTAATTTGTGGAGTGCAAACAAGGAGCATGAGACACAATAACAGGTAAGACTGGCGAGGGTAATCAGAGCTCAGGTGTTCTAAGAAGCTTGGTTTATTTGAGAGGAGGAAGAGGAGGAGAATGATAATTGTCCAGCTTTCTACAGTTAAGCATGTATTTCAGACACTTAAGAGGAATCACTAAAAGTATGACTTCTAGTACAGAAAAGAGAAAAAGTTGGTAAAGGGTATTAAAATATAATGGCAGGCAAAAAAGGGAAAAAAAGGAAGTAAAAAGACTGGTATGTAAAGGGTGCCAAACCAGAGGTAGGAAATGTTTTACATTCATCTATTAAAACAGAGATGATCAAGTTGATCAAGCAAAATAAAATGCAGCTCTATGCCATTTACCAGAGGAAATTTAAGACCTAAGGGCACCAAAAGTTAAAAAAAAAAGGGGGGGGGTATACTTGAGAAAAACTAACCAAAAGATATCTATAGGAAAATCAGACAAAATAGGCTTTAAGGCAGAAGACATTATTAGGGATAAAGGAGCGTCACCAGTCCAGCTGGCTTAGCTCAGTGGTTGAGCGTCACCCTATGAACCAGAGGTCAGGGTTTGATTCCCAGTCAGGGCACATGCCCGGGTTGTGGGCTCAATCCCCAGTGTGGGGCATGCAGGAGGGACATACAGGATTTTCTCTCATCAATATTTCTATCTCTCCCTCTTCCTTCCTCTCTGAAATCAATAAAATTTTTTAAGAGGGTCACCACAAAATGATGAAAAGAATTTTCAAGATGTAACAATTTTAAACTTGTATGTTAGAGGTTTTAAAAAGGGTTGAAAATGTATGAAGCAAGAGTGACAGGATACAAAGGAAAAGTGTCAAATCCTGTAGCATGGTAGGAGATTTAAGACCTCTTTCAGTAACTGATAGACGAAACAGCCCCCCAAAATAGATTTTAATGCTGCTAATAATCCTGATCAATGGACTCTGACAGAACCATGAACCCAGTCCAGTATGTTACTTTCAAGCACACAAGAAACCTTTACAAAAAAGTTACCTAACTACTGGACCCCAAGACACATCTCAACAGATATCAACGAATCCATTTCATACAGACCATATCCCCTGATGATAGACACGAGCGAAATAAACTCCAAATGTTTGGACATTTAAACATTCTTCTAAAAAACTTATTACTTAAAGATAAAATCATATAGAAACTAAAACTGTATCAAACAAAAAATGAGAATACATATAAAAACTCCGGTGGTGGGGCATAGTAAGCTGCAATTAGGAAATTTATAACCTTATTAGGTAAGAAGAAATATGAAAAATGAGCAGTGTCAAATAATTTTTAAAAGGGTTAACAGCCCTGGCTCAGTTGGTTGGAGCATCGTCCTGTATACCAAAAAGGTGGTGGGTTTGATTCCCAGTCAGGACACATACCTAAGTTGAGGGGTCCATCTCTGGTTGGGGCATATTGGGAAGCGACTGATCAATGTTGCTCTTCTCTCTCTCTCTCTCTCTCTCTCTCTCTCTCTCTCTCTCATCAATAAGAAAAAACATGTCCAGATGAGGATTAAATTTTTTAAATTAAAAAAGGAATAACAGTGTAAAAAAGAAAAAGTGAAGGAAGATAATAATGAAGAGCAGAAATTGATTAAATATAGAACAAAAACACTAGTATGGACCACAAAGCTAGGTCTTTGAAAAAAACAATAAACACTAATTTCAAAAGGTACATAACTACGATATATCAGAAATTACAACAATAAGATTATACACTCGATGCCAGTAAATTTAAAACACAGATGAAATGGACAATTTTCTAGGAAAAGATCATTTGCAAGACTAATGCAAAAAGAAATAGAGTAGACCCATACCTAAAAAACCAACTAGTCCAAATGGTTTTCTATGTGAGCTCTCCCAAAATAAAAGTTAAAACCTAGCCCTGACTGGTTTGGCTCAGTGGATAGAGCAGGGGTGGGCAAACTTTTTGACTCGAGGGCCACAATGGGTTCTTAAACTGGACCGGAGGGCCGGAACAAAAGCATGGATGGAGTGTTTGTGTGAACTAATATAAATTCAAAGTAAACATCATTACATAAAAGGGTACGTTCTTTTTTTTTTTTTTAGTTTTATTCATTTCAAATGGGCCGGATCTGGCCCGCGGGCCGTAGTTTGCCCACGGCTGGTAGAGCGTCGGCCTGTGTACTGGAGGGTCCCGGGTTCGGTTCCAATCAGGGGCATGTGCCTTGGTTGCGGGCACATCCCCAGTTGGGGGTGGGCAGGAGGCGGCTGATCGATGTTTCTCTCTCATCGATGTTTCTGGCTCTCTGTCCCTCTCCCTTCCTCTCTGTAGAAAATCAAAATATATTTAAAAAAAAAAGTTAAAACCTAACCTGCAACAAACATTATACTTAATGGTAAAACACTATAGTATATGATAAAATGTTAAGCATTATTTTCTTTAAAGCCAGGGAAAAACTTTAAAATTGTTTTCACTGAACAAAATGCAGTCCCTGCCAGAGCACCAAGACCAGGAAAAGAGCAAAACTATCCTTCACAGCCAGAATAACCAAAGGAATCTACAAACGAAAGAATTGCTAACTAAGAAAGTCTGACAACACGATTCCAAGTTTTAGAGGAATATGGGAACTTTTTACACTGCTATGGGAGTGCAAATCATTTCAGCCACATTGGGAAGCAATTTGGCAAAATCTACTAAAGCTGAAGATGCCCATATCGTATAAACCAGGAATTTCACTTCTGGTGCACATGAGTCCAAGAAAATAGGCAAGTTTATTGGAGCATTTTCATAATGGCCAAAAAAAGGGACCCACCTAAATGTCCAATTAAATGTCTTGTGTATTCCTATAATAGAGCTACACACTGTTACAGTGAAAGGGGGAAAGGAGGAGTTAGCAAACTTTCCCTTTAAAAGGCCAGATAGTAAATATTTTTGGCTTTACAGGCCATATGGTCCCTGGCAACCATTGTTCTGCTAGGGTGTGGAAGCAGCCTTAAACTACTGGAATGGGCATGGCTGTAGCCCAGTAAAGTTGTTTCCTAAAACATATTTGGCCTTAGTTTGCTGACTCTTGATCTAGAGCTGTGTGTGTCAACGTGGACCTATCTCACAAACCCAGCGTTGTAGGAGACTGAGTGTAACACAGCCAGTCAGAGCAAACAAAGAACTAGGTCGGCCATGGCCTTGGGGAAGTGGTTACACCTCTCTTTTGTCAGACTAGCCCAGGCTGAGGCCACAGTGGGAGAGGGGACCATCCCTCAAATCTCAAGGTCTGTGCTCACTCTTCCTCTTACCTAACACTCCCTCCTCCAGTCCTCTGGTCTCTCTCCTCCCTGCTTCCTTCTCTCCCCCATCTTTTCTGACTGCAAAGACCTGGCCTTGTCTCTACTTGAAAGTCTAGCAAACATCACAAACATGACCACCTCCAAATGAACCCATGATCTTCCCCTAACATGTAACCTTCCATGTCCTCATCCGTCATTTTTGACTCCTTTTCCTCACGCCTCCCCCCACCCCTCATTCAATCCATTCCCAAATCCTATTGGTTCTATATTGAAAATATCTCCAACCCTGGCCGGGTGGTTCTGTTGGTTGGAGTGTCGTCCCAAAAGGTTGTGGGTTTGATTCCAAGTGAGGGCACATACCTAGGATGTGTGTTCGATCCCAGGTCCGGGTACATGTGGAAGGTAATCGATCAATGTCTCTCACATCAATGTTTCTCTCCCTGCCTCTCTCTCTAAAAATCAATTTTAAAAAAACATACATATCCTTGAGTGAGGATTAAAAAAATAAATAAGAGCCCTAGCTGGTTTGCCTCAGTGGATAGAGCATTGGCCTTCAGACTAAAGGATCCCAGGTTCGATTCCCGCCAAGGGCACATGCCCGAGTTGGGGGCTCGATCCCCCCCAGTAGGGAGCATGCAGGAGGCAGCCAATCAATGATTCTCTCTCATCATTGATGTTTCTATCTCTCTCCCTTCCTCTCTGAAATCAATAAAAAATATATTTAAAGCAAATAAATAAGAAAATATTTCCATAAAAAAACATTAAAAAAAGGAAAGAAAATATCTCCAGAATCTGACCACTTCTCACCACTTAAACCACTGCCACTCAGACCAAAGCGGCCACCATCTACTACCATCATCTCCTCACTGGCCTCCTTGCTTTGGCCTTGCCTACTTCAGTCTGGTCTCGCTACACTGACAGAAGACAAGACTGAGGTGCTGGACCATGCTGTTCCTGCATCCCACCCATTCAGAGCAAAAGTCAAAGGCTAAACAATGACCCATAAAGCCATGAAGTCTGGGATCTGCCTCCCTGCTGCTCCTCCAGCCTCAACATTCACGCTCACACCCTTGACTTCAGCTGTGCTGGCCTCCTCACTATTTCAGGAACCTGCTTGTTCCCCAGGACCTTCCTGTACTTACGTTCCCTTTGGAACATTCTCCCCCAAGATCTCTGGTTGCTCACACACTCATTTCCAAGGACTCCTCATGGAGGCCTTCCTGAATGATCTTATTTAATATTGCAGCCCCCATCCCAGTCACTCCCTCTCCCTCTCCCAGTACCTTGCTTAACTTTTTGTCAGAGCAGTTACCATCTTCTAATAGGCTAAATAAAAGTTTTAAGCATTTTATTATGAAAAAATTCAATCACACAGAACAATTAAAATAGTTGTCCAATAACCATCCATATACCCACCACTTAATACTTAATACTTGCTCCATTTGGTTTATCACCATCTGTCCATCCATCCACCCATCCATCCACACATTTTATTTTTTTGATGCATTTCAGAGTAAGTTGCCATTATGA